GGATTCATCTGCGTTGTAAATTTTCTTCATTCATAATGTTGTGTAACTTACGAATAAAAGGCTCCACTGAAGAAATGTCAGATGACAGCTTTTCTCCCTGTACGGAAATTTGTCGAATGCCATGTCTTTTTTGAAAGTTTTTCAACCATCCAGAACTTGCTTTGAAGTTTGAGTTGGTGCCGTTTAGTTGCTCATTAAACCACCTTGCCTTCTCTGTTATTATTTACCTGGAAAGAGGTGTCCCCCGACTTCTTTCTTGCGAGAACCAAGCAAACATGCTTTTCTCAAGAGCTTCATCATTGGCGTTTTTCATGATTTTTCTTTTCAATCCAACGTTCGTTTCCATCTTGCTAGCGAAATCACGTAGACTTGACTTTGATTTCTTTATGCCCGATATGGTAGCTTTTCCAACTCCATACTCCGTGGCTAACTTTGTTGCTGTTTCTCCATGCTCCAATCTATTAATGATGGATAGCTTCATGTCGAGGTCAAGCCCAACACGTTTGCGTTTTACAGAGTGGGACTTCGACATAGCAACAGTGTAACAAATTTGGCGTACAGTGTAAAGGTAAATTGCGTTGGAATAAGTAAGCGATGTTTCGTACTGCATACCGATAGATGTTTGAGACTAAAATGAAAAATCAGTGCACTGGTTGCTCTATTTATTCAGTTTAATGAAAAGAATTTTCACAGCTTGGTGGATAATGAGTTGAAACCAACATCTTGGTGGGCCACTACCGGCGATTCAGGTGTCTGTCACGTAATCAGGCAGGCTCACAAAGGCACGGTTCAGGTTGTCCGTCACGTCATCAGACTGGCTCACAAACGCACTTACACTGGCACCGGTCGCAGGCGATCAGTTTCCTGACGCTTTTATTATCACAGGGCGCTTAAAATAATTCAACATTCACACTATTAATTTGTATAAAGCAAGTGACAATGGGCAATTGGATACAGGCCAGTTTATCAGATGGCTTTCAGCCAAAACATTAACAATGTTGGGAGACACATCACGTGTTCAGATTACCGAACAGTTCGGATATTTGACGTTCGGATAAGCGACGTTTTACTGTAGCAATAAACATGCACTTGACACTAAACAGCCATATATTACCTGTAAACAATAGTAAGAATGGTGCCCTCTAGTGGTGACGTGTTGAAATACTTACTATCATTGATAACTTCTATTTGGAGTAAGAATCCACGGAAACTGATTGATTCGTCTGTGATAAACGTCATCCATAACTCAGAATCCGCTGATATTATTGGAACAGGTAGGGTATGACCAGAATGATGAATGATACGTGTTGTAAGATCACCGTCATCAAGACCGTCACCAATATCAACCCAGTCATATCCTCGCTCAGTCTCGAAATCACGGAATGTGACAGTCATCTTGGTATCTGCTGGTGATGTGATGTTCCACTGACAATGATCGTTGTTGTAATAGTCTGACGGATAATTGGGAGACTGTAGTACCAGGATGGAATCATATTTGGCAATAAATTCACCTCCGCATGGTTTGGCCGGTACCACATCTGGTGAGAAATGCACAACATGTCACGCTATTGATACACAACAAATCTCATGCTTGATGAAAATTGAATCTATTCTCAAAGAAGTTTAATCTAAGAAACATTTCCAAAAATACTCATTCCGGAAATCATAAACAAAATGATTCACATATTGAAACTTCAAGAAATCATCTGCCTCGACAAAATAACACATTAAATCAAAGACTTAATTGACAATCAAAATGATGTCATCCAATTTGATTTGCATGAATAATCAATTAAATGCACATTTGAACTGGAAAGACAAGCAGAATCTTTCAATATCTTTTTGCTTAAACCAAGTCTCAGAATAAATTTCAGTAAGGTTCCCATGATTGACAAATTACCTTCAGTGTACTCGGCATATGTCAGATGAAATCCATTTCCACTAACTGACATATCTGATGTGAATATTAATAATGCTGAGTCAGCATTTATCAGTATATCCTTGGGTATTTCATCTCCTGTCAACTCCTGAACAGAAATACAATCAAAGAAAGCTTAGAAAGAACTCCCATGTGCTGAGAGTATTGGAGACACATTAAATATAATTCGAAATTACTTAGCTGAAAACTAATTATGCAAATCAGAAAATTAATATGACCAGATTTGAGTGTAAAACTAATGAGGTCTGCGCAATGTAACAGAAAATCTATGTCTCCAAGTTTAATTGAAATGTGATTAGAACCAAAAAATTATGAATTATTATGCTTATTAGGGAATTAATATGAACAGATTTTTACCCCAAACTAATTAGGTTTGTACATTGTCCTAGAGCATCTTTGTACTAAGTTTCATTGAAATGGA